TCAGTGCACTCTCACAATGATTAGTCAAGAGATCCAGCGCATGAACCAGTGACTGCTGAGGTTCAAGGACACCCTGCCCCCACCCTCTTCTGTGTTGGACTCATGTCCTGTCTGTCCGCATTCTAACGGCCTCCTGCTCATCTTGGTTCTGCCACTTTGACAGCATCTTGTTTCACTGCATTTGCTTCCTTTCCTTCAGGAACATCTGTCCTCCACTCTTTGCCAGCTTCATGAAGCACATCAACAGCTCTGCTCAGACGTCTTCTATCGCAGCCCATTGCTCTCTAGTTCCTTGGTCTGGACTCCAAGTGGCTCTGTAGTGGTCCTTCCTTTATCTCACTTAGAAAAGCAGGATGAGTTGTCAACAGATGCCATTGCTCTGGTTTCTCCACTACCAGCCATGTCAAGGCATCCTTAAAGACATAGAACAAGTGTGCCACTCTCGGAATTTGTCATATTCATTCCATTTAAGAATATTTTTCTTTCTCTTTCTTCCTTGTTCTTCTTCTCTTAAGGAAGGTATGTACTTATTTGAAAGGCTGGGGGCAGGGTGCGGAGAGCAGTAGATCTCCCATCTACTTGTTTACTCTCCCAAAAACCTGTAGTACAATTGGTCCAGGCCAAAGCTGAGTGATGGGAATTCAGTCTCTGACCTGGGTGGATGGGGCCCCACTACATGAGCTATCACCTGTTGCCTCCTCAGGTTTGCATTAACAGGAAGCTCAAACCCAGTTCAACAGTGGCTTGGCAGTTAGACCAAACACCAGCCTCCTTATTCCTCTTTCCCGTGAATTCTCAGACAACATAAAATGAGGAGACAAGTAGACTTGGATCCCTCCACATTTCCTAAGTGTAACTAAGCCTCGCCCTATTGTCTATGTCCTGCTTTCCTCCTTTGAAAAATGAGACGAGTCACACAAGCCGCCTTACAGAAATATAGTGGAGACTAGTAAAGCAATGTACATTCGCTCATACTGCACCTGTAATGCATTAAGGCATTTGTATCACTGTCAGCCGAGTCACAGTGTTGTCATCAAGGACACACATGACATGAAAACACAGACCGAGGGAAGCTACTGCGCTGAGAGCCATATTTTGGTGTGTTCTTTGTTTTGAGATTCTTGTCAGCTAGGGTGAAAAGGGACAAGGGCAGGGCTGGTTTTCTGAACTCACATGATGCAAGAAAGCAGCAGAGGCCATCAACATAGAGCACACTTCCCTGGCTCTGGGCCGTGCCTGTTGTGGAAGTGTGACGGCATGAGAGCGTCCACTTAAACCAGCCGTCGCGGTGCTGAGGGGATCTCGATTGGATCTGACAGTGCGGTTCTGGCGTGAGATTTCTGATGCTGTGACAGTCACATGGTATATCCTGTCTGCTCCCTGGGACAGCAGCTCCTCCTCCCTCACCTGCCAGGGGCTGTGTAAGGGCAAAGGCAGGGTCTTGCTTATCTTTGTCTCCCCAGTGTCCAGTTAAGTTCCTGGCCCTCGGTGACTGTCATGTGCATGACTGAATGAATAAGTGAATGATGGATGAGCCCTACTAACGCCATTCTAAGGAGGGTAAGGTCCAAAAGTGGCTGGGATCCAAGCAAGAGGTCATAGTCCTTCAAAAAAAGTGGGGAAAGACATGGGGGCAGAATAGCCATTCGTTGACACATTGCAGGCTCCTTTCTCCTTCTGCCTTGAGCTGCAGAGAAACCAGAGCACATTTTCTTGAGAACCTCTTGTGTGCCAGGTCCTGTATTTGAATTTTATGCTTCATTTCATTGTCTTAACAACTCCTCCCATTAGATGGCCAATCTTGTTCCTGTTATATAGATGAAGATGGTGAGGCTCAGAGAGATGAGATCACTTGACCAGATTCATCAGGCTTGGAGAGAGCAGGACAGGGATAGGAGTGCTGGGGTGGTGGTGGTGCTGGTTACCACCTGAGCTCTCCCTGGACACAAGGCCCTTGGTGCAGCCCTTCAGCGATGTCTGCTTAGCACCGGGAGCCACGCGTGCTGTGAGGGGAGATGAATCCTGATTAACGTGCCGCTTCCCGTGTCCCCCTTTGTAATTTAATTTTATGGTTTCGGGAGCTGTGTCGCAGGTTGTGGGAGCCCGCAGAGATGGGCCACCAGTGGTTTGGTTTAATCCCCTTTTTAATATCTTTGTTGCAACGTTCTTTCCAATTCAGCTCCCAAGTCACATTAAAAAAATACCTCTTCCTTAGGGTAAGCCTTCCCTTATTAAACAGATTCAAATGAAAAGTTTTAAAGATAATTTGAACAATAAGAATCACTCGGTAGCTTCCAGCCGAAGCTGCTTTATTGCTGTATTTATTCCCCAGTATTTCCTGTCTCATTCCGCAGCTCACTGAATCCCTCATCTACCCCCAGCCCTTCCAGTCCTTGACCCAACTGACGCCTGCTCCCTGGAGGAACCATCAGCGGATGTGGTGGGGAAGAGGGTGTCTCTCTTCCACATGCCAGGGTGCCCCTGCCCGGATTGGCAGGCAAGGCTTTACTGCAGAACTTCTCGAGGGATTTCCACACCTGGCTGAGTGTCTCCAAGGACAGTATTGCTTTAAGACCACACAGAGATGGGAAACTGGGAGAAGAGATAGAGACAGAATCCTGCTCAAAATGCAGATGCCTCGGCCCCACCCCATGCTAGATGAGCTGAATGGCTGTTTCTCCCAGGGTCCCCAGGAATCTGAAATGTTCTCTGACACTTTGAGCAGCAAAGAGGACTAAACCTTAAGCTTCAAGGGCAAGTGTGGGGCAAAGCTTTAATCGAGAGATGCCAGGCATGCCAGGCATGGGGGAGGGAGGCCACAGGCCCTCACTAGTTCTAAGTCTATATCAGGAATCCACCCTGTGTGAAGACCTTTGCTGGGAAAGGAGAGTAACATGAGGTCCAGGTATGGCATTTGGGGAGCTAAGAGTATAGTGCTAGCTGCTTTCATCATCTGCTGACCTCGCCTTGCGGTTGAAAGGACCCAGGTCTCATCTGTCTGACTCTGGACCTCTAGGGAGCAGGGCTCTGGGCTGTGAATGGGCCAGTGGAACTCTAAAGCCCAGGCTGGGCGTGGGCTCTTCTGCCCAGCATTGCCTCTGGGTCAGAGCTGCTAACATTTGCATAGCGCTTGGAACAATTTACCCAGTGCTTTCACAGTCAGTGCCTTCCTTAATCCTCACGGGCACGTGGGAGTCCAGGAGGCCTGGGGGTGGGGCAGCCCGAGTTTTCCTGTAGCCCTCAGTTCACTGACCCTCCCTCCCCCCCACACACCATCTCTACCAGGGAGGTCCCTGGGGATGGAGCTTAGAGGTATCCAGAAACATTTGGGACCCAGCTGGACAAGCAACTGAGTCCACAGCCTATTTCAACCGCACTGTCCCATTTCCAAATCAAGACAGCTGGACTCTGCCTCCCCTCCTGGCTTTTTTTTTTCTTGGTGCATTTTCAGGGGGGAAAGGTATGGTGGTAGTAGTGTGTATATATGTGCATATGGGTTTGTGCATGTGTATGATTGCATACACCTGTGTGCATGTGGGTTGTGTATGTCTGAGTATCTGAGTGTTACATTGGTGTACATTGTATGTGTGGATGGCTGGGGTATGGGTGTCTATGCTGTGTGTGTGCATGACTGTAGCATATGGGCACACATACGTGATTACAGTGTTGTGGAATATTTCAAAATATTTGTGGAAAGGTGGGATTTCAAGGTATGAGTTTATTTTGGTGCTAAAGATTTTTGAAATCTATCCCGCGAGTTATGGGAAAAATGCATTTGCCCCAAAATGAGCTCACACTTTTGATCGCCTTTTTCCACAGACGTATGGAAGTCCCTAGGTGTGTGTGTGTTAGGGGAGAGAGCCCCTGGGGAGGTTAGTGAATCCCAGGTCTGTGAAGAGACAGGCTGCGCGCCACACGGGGGTCACAGCCACCCTTCCCTCCGCGTTGGGCAGGGCTATGCTGGGTCCTACCACATGCAAACCCGGGAAGCTGGGCTCCTGGTCCTCCTGCAGGAGGAAGATCCAGAATTGTGCAGAAAACAGTTGGACTTTATTGGAGATGATAGATGCTGGCTGGACTTCAGAGTCTGTCCTAGTGAGGAGGGCCTCTCTGTCTGCAGCCTTGGGTGCCCCCTGCCCTGCCAGCTGCTGGGACTGCAGCTGTCCCCTTAGAGTTTCACCTTCTGCTGCTTCTTGCTGCTGGAGGGCCAGAGAGCGAAAGGACTGAGCTTTGGCTCAGGCTCTGCTGTCTGCAAAGGTCCTACTTTTTCTCCCATTTCCGCTTTGGTTAAGAATAGAGTTTAGGAACCATATGGGTCTGGGAGCTGATCTTCCAACACTTTGTCTCATGGGTGTCATTGAACAAAACTTTTTGACATTCTTGAGCCAGTTTCTCACTTTTTTTTCCTCCTTTAACATATATCTATTTATTTGGAAGGCAAAATTATAGAGAGGGGGCACAGGAAGAGAGAAAGATGCAACTTGTATCTACGCCACAAATGCTGCAACAGCTGGGGCTGGGCCAGGCTAAAGCAGGAAATCTGGAACTCCATTTAGGTCTTTGATATGAAAGGCAGGGATCCAGGCACTTGGGTCATCCGCTGCTGCCTTCCCAGGCACATTAGCAGGGAGATGATCAGAAGTGGAGCAATAGGGGCTTGAATTGGCACCCTTATGGGATACTGCTGTCTCAGGCAGCTGCTGCTTAACCTGTGCCACAACACCAACTCCATCAGTATCTTCTTTTCTAAATAGAAGATGAAGACACTGCCTATCTCATGGTTGCTGTGGGGACAGGTGGACTCATTTTAGACTGTGATTCAGGCTTTAGTCCTCTACTGTCCTTCCCTCAACTGTTCAACAGAGGCAACACTCCTCACCCGTGGGAACCGGTGCTGCTGAAAACTCTGCTATGGCTTCCCTGTGCCTTTATAATCACATCTGCCAGCTCAAAGGTCTGGAAGATTCTATTTTGATCCTCATATCTTTTTTTGTTTTAGAAAAAATCTGGAACATTTCACAAATTTGCGTGTCATTCTTGCACAGGGACCATGCTGATTTCTGTATTGTTCCAGTTGTGGTGTTTGTGCTATCAGAGCGAGCATATTCCTCCCATCTTTACCCATTTGAGCGTTTTTCCCACCTAACCCTAACCTAACCCTAACCTAACCTAACCTAACCTAACCCTAACCTAACCTAACCTAACCCCAACCTAACCCTAACCCTAGTTGTGCTCTGTTCTTTTCCATCTTAGGATCTTGTGCATGCTGATTCCTATGGTTTGAAAGTCCTTCCTTGCATTAGCTGTCTGGCTCAATGACTGTGCTTCTCTAAGCCTTTCCTGCTCTCCTGCGCTAGAAGTGTCTCGCTCCAGGCCCAGTGTTCTCACAGCTTGCCTTTCATTCTTGAGTTTCGGGGCAGTGTAGCCTACTGGCTCAGAGAGTGGCATTATGATTTTATTTCCATGGGAAATGAGTTCATTTCTCTATCCCTTGGCTTTCTCATTTTAAAAAAACTGGAATAATTGTATAATCTGTGTCTACTATCATGAAGTACAATAAACCTCTGAGTTCAGTGGCTTAAAGTGTCTGTCTTCTTAGTGCCTGCTTCTACAGTCCAGCAATTTGGGCTAAGTTGAGCTGGATGGTTTCTTCTGCTGTGATTAGAACCTGGTGGACCTTGGCTCCTGTTCACCCTGACACCTACCACTGTTATCTGGGTCTAGCCAACTGTGAGTGCAGGCACTTTGGAGTTTTCCTCCATGCGATGTGTCACCTCCAACAGGCCCTCCTGGCTTTGTTCACCTGGAGGTTGCCTAGTCCCAATGGATTGAATTCCCATTCCTAAGCACTTGCAAATGTAGAGTTTAGTCTACCCCACCATGTCACTGAGGTTGCTGAGGGAATTAAAATGAAAATGTTTAACTTAGTACCTGGACTGCCAGTTAGCCAAACAATAGGTATCAGCTTTAGTATTTTGTGACTGAAGACATGGGGTTTAGATAGCTTAGCTGTTTGCTGAAGGTGTGGCCTCTGATAACGGTGGGGATTTGAATCTGTTTCCCACTTCCCTCCCTCAGCTACTCTGCTGGGTGTCTCTACCCACAGCAGCCGCATCACATCTGAAGTCCTGAGGTCACTCTGCAGAGGGATGCCAGTTCAAACCCATGCATACCAGTAGCTCCAGAGCTCTCTGTGTGGCTGGCAGACTAGGCCTGGACACCATGTTGGCTGTCAGTCTGAAATGCCATGGCTGGGAGGAAATATTTGTTTTGGTGTCCTTCTCAAGCACCAACAATTTTCTGCTTGTATTTTTCTGTTGTTTGGCTCAGATGAATAGCAGTTTTCATCTTTGCTCTGGGTTATGGTGTACACAGAAACGCTGTCGTGAGCTAACAGCATGCTTGCTTAGTCATTATTCTGGAAAGGGGTGCCAGCCACTCCGTAGCCTTTATTTTTACATGACTCCCTACTCTGCAAATGTGGAAATAATGCACAGTGGCTGAGTGTAGAGCCACCATCAGACACCTAGCATTTCTGAGGTTAGCACAGAGGCAATACCGTAGAGCTGGCTCCTGGAGCCACTTCTCACTGCTTTCCTTGTAGCCTTCCGGAAGCTGGATTAGCCTCCCAGAATGATTCACAATGACAGAGTCTGGACTGGACTTTTATGTGTTTTTTTTCCCCCCCAACCTAAAGGAGAAAGCAAATAACATGGAAGAGGTGCCAGGACTGACAAAATTTCATAGGGGGAAAAAATTAAGGTAGATTCCAGGAAATGCATATGAGTACCGCTTAACCTTGAACTCAGCAGAGTTGTGGAGTACGTGAATATATTGTCTGGGAGCCCCATGCTGATTACACAGAGTCAGGGCAGGGTCTGAGGGGGAGCTGCCCCTAAGGGTCGCACAGGTATTAGGACCCAACCGAGCCAAATCAGGTGGTTGCTGTCGTCATTTGATGGCTCACGGGGATACTAGGACAGTGGTGCCATGTGAAATGGAAGGCAGGACAGTTGAACCAATGCCAGATAGGCCGCCTTCTGTGAGAGGAGCTGGGTGGCACTCGGCCTCCGGGGGAGGAACAGGTATGTGCACCTGAACGTTAAGAGCTCTGAGAGATGGGTGACAAAGGACAGTGAGTATGTATGCCCATTCCTTTACTCATCCCTTCATTGAACACATGCTGATGGATCTGGGGTTCTGGGCTCAGAGGCCTCTGTGTTGAACAAAGAGTCCCTGGCCTCGTGTTGGGGCAGTAAGATTCATAATGTGTGGTAGTGACATGTACTGTGACACAAGTAAGCAGCAGAGGGAGGGGCCTTGTGAGGGGGAAAGGACTTTTTTTTAAGGGAACGAAATATCATTTTGTGAATATGACGCTTGAACTGGCTCTCCATGATGGAGACACAGTCAAGGGACCCCCACTCTGGGTGAGGGAAAGGGGACAGGGAAGCATTCCACAGGAATTGCAAAGGCCCTGGAGTTTCAAGGACTAGATCCAAGGCCACGGTGGCTGCAAGAAGAGGGAGACAGGGTCGATCAGTGTGGTGCTAACGACATGGCAAAGGAGCTGGGATTGAAGTCTGTGTGTAACGGGAACCCGCGCGAGGGTGTTAAGCAGGAAACTGTTTGATCTGAGTTCTGAGAATGTGCTACCTGCATGGCATGCAGCATGCAGAACCAATAGATACAAACAAATCCTGCTTTCTGCGGGGTGAAGGGGGTTGGGTGGGAGTGATGGCGGATCTGAGACACCTGACTACCGGTCTGGGATTGCATTGAGGGGCTGATAGAGGCTGTCGTGGAGAAGTGGAGATGGGGGCGATAGCCACTGGATTGATTTGTTCCCCCCAAGTGTTGATCTGGGATTACTGTCAGGCTGGGGGAAGGGTCTCTGGCAGTGTCCTCAAGACTCTGCTCTGGACTCTTCCATTCAACATTGCTCTCTGTAAATTGGCAGAAGACACAGAAGACACTCTCATCAGACATGCAGCTGACACGGAGCTGTCAGGGACAGCTGATGCCACGGATGACAGGCTCAAGATTCACACCCATGATCCTGCACAGGCAGGAGTTGGGGTGGGGGAAGAGTAAGATCCCTGATTGCATTCAGATCAGGAAACAGAGTCCCATCCTGGAGTCGGGGGCCTCACTGGCTCCGCCAAGTCCTGCCTTTGATGGAGAGGAGACCATGAAGGCTGCTGGCCCACCATGTCCCCACCACTGTCCCCCTTCCATTCTCAGTGACAAGGCTAAGGCCTTGCAGGGTTCCCATTTCCAGTGTAAAGTGAGGGCAATGCTGTGTTGATCAAGGAAGTGGAGTGGACCAACTCTGACAGTGTATGTGGGCTTCCACCCAGCCCACCATGAACTCATGACAAAGCACGCTTCAGGACAGCTTTCAGGGACACACGAAGAACTCACAACCAGGGCAATGGGGCAGTGTTCTTGGCCTGGTGCCATCCCTTCTGTGACTGTCTCTTCTTAGGGCCCTGCTGCACGTCCAGAGGAGAATGACCAGGAGGACTAGTGCAACTTTGTCGCCTGAGAGCCACTGTGGCTTTGGAGAAGAGAAGAGTGGTTGTACCTGGGAGGGACTGAGTGTTTGTGTCTCTGTCCCCCTTTCCCCCAGGGCTGCAGAGCGGGAATGACAAGGGTGGCTCCTTACTTGAATCCACCTGCTGGCCATCACAGAACAGTCTCTATCATAGCCAAGATCTCTGCCTCTGCCCATCATGTTGCAATTGCAATGCCATGCCACTGTCTTGAGGGCTTGCGTCCTGAGATCTGACCACCAGCCACCACGTTATTGTCGCATCGTCACTGAGATCTGGCTGCTGCCCACCCTACTGCGACGGTGACTCCGTGTGTGTCTCGGTGGGGTTGCTAGGCACCAGTCTCTGGTCAGCATTTTGCACAGCTCATCTCATAGCAGCCTCGGTCTGACTTTGAGGGGTCAGTGTTACCCCTACTCATCAGATGAGAATTGCAAGGCCTGGCAGGCAGCCAGTGTGGGGCAGCACAGGAACTTGTGCTCAGAGTGTGTGTGTGGGGGGGGAAGCAGACTTGCACCCCCTCTCTGCCAGTCAGTCTCCTGCGGTGCTGGAGTGGGATAAGAGGATTGAGAGGGGTGTTCTCTGGGGTGTTTTTTTGGGGGGTGTAGGGACCTCAGGGTGCTGTGACCCTTTGGGAAGCTGTTTTGATTGGCCCTTGGAACTGGTACTTTGCAAGATTCTGTGGCTATCTCTCTTTCTCCTTCTCTCTCCTCACTCCCATATTTTTTATTCAAATGACAACCCAGAAGTGAAATACAGACAAGAGTGGACAGTGTGTGTTGGCCCATGTGCTCACCTCCCAGCTTTGGCAATGACCAATACACCCAAGGTCTTGTCCTCCCTTTGATATGCTCTCCCCAGCCTCTCCCTCTGTGCCTCCTTCCTTTCCCCCATTTGCCACCCCAGGGCTCACTTCAAGGGAGTCTGTTGCATAATGTTATTTGTAAATACTTCAGTATATATCTCTCAGAGATAAGGACTCTTTTTTGGGTTGTTGTTTAAGTATAACGCCAATTCCATTAACATAATTTTAAGCATTATCATAATTGTAGTGAATCTTTCTGATTCGGAAGAGCCGGTACACAGCTCGCTCTGCAAAGTGTTTTGAGGGCAGGGAGGGGAGGCAAAAGCTTTTCCTGACAGTGTCTAACTCTGAGGACTTGCTCTTGGGTGCTGGGTGATGGCGGTGGAGGAGGAGGCAGATGTGAATCTTGAGACCGTAGATGGGCAGCCTCTTTCTTCTGATTGTTCCCAGGGAGGCAGCAATGTGAGGGGCCTATTTATAGTCCTAAGTCTAGACACAGGAGGGAGGTGAAAGGACAGGGCTAGGTGGAAGAGCAGGAGAAAGGGAGAGGAGGGGCAGACTGGAGGGAGGGAGGACATACGGAGCAGGAATTGATTGATCTGGTCTTTTGCTCAGGGCTGATGGCCACACTGGCAGGCATTCACAGCCAGTCTTTTGTTGTTGTTGTTTTGTTTGTAAAGATTTATTTATTTTTATTACAAAATCAGATATACAGAGAGGAGGAGAGACAGAGAGGAAGATCTTCTGTTTGATGATTCACTCCCCAAGTGTCCGCAATGGACGGAGCTGAGCCAATCCAAAGCCAGGAGCCCCGTCTGAGTTTCCCATGCAGACCCATCTCAAAGCTTTGGGCAGTTCTTGACTGCCTTCCCAGGCCACAGGTAGGGAGCTGGATGGGAATCAGGGTTGCCGGGGTTAGAACTGGTGAACATATGAAATCCTGGTGTGCTCAAGGTGTGGACTTTAGCCACTAGGCACTGGGCCCCACAGTCAGTTTTAATCCAGTGTAGCCGAGCAACCTCACCTCACGTGTTCTCCCAACCATCCTGGGACTCAGGGGATGGTAGATGTTGGATCCTTCCCGACGGAGGGTCCTGGAGACTGAGGGTTGACAGGAAGTCAGCGATGAAGTAACACTAAGCCCAGGTCCCCTTGGCTGTGGTTGATTTGCTCCTGTCCTGCTGAGGTTGCGTGCAGGGCTGGTCTGTAGGCGGCACATTGCTGTGTGGATGTTACGATACCAGCACATCTTCATGTGTGTGGCACACAGATCTCTCTTAAGCTTCCTAAGTCCCTCAGCCACCCAGCTCTTGTTCCAGTGACCTCTGGGTTTCAGCAGGCCCCCACTGTTTGCTGCGCTGGGACTGCAGCCTGTGTTCCCCTTCTGATGGGCTGCGGAGCACAAGGCTCCCTCTCTGGGGAGTTGTGTGTGGTCACCTGTGAGGGGTACACCCGCCCATTTCTCTGTGTGTGTGTATGTGTATCAGACACATCTGTGCAGATGTCTGCGTGCACATGCAGGTATGCACACCCAAAGAATACTTTCTGGAAGGCATGGTCCCTGCTGGTCACTGCATGTCAGTGTGTGGCCTTACTGTGCCCCTGAGAGGGTAGTCAGCCTGACTGGGCGCTGCGGCTCTCAGACTAAAAGGCCCAAGTTGCAGGAGCTGAGTCCTGCCAGGGGGATCTGGTTTCCCCTTCATCCCTCTACATTAGCTTTTCCCTTGGTATAAGGAGCTGGGAAGCTTCCAGAATGCCTCAGGTCATGACCATCTCATCTGGCCCTCATAGGAGCCCACTGAGGAGGAGTAGCAGAGGGTGCTAAGCTGGATGGCCCTGGTTCCCCTGGGAGCACTGGGAGGAAGGTAACTTCTTGCTAAAGATGTTGGTGGGTAGGCAGGAACATCAACCAGACAGCAGGATTGCCACCCTTACCCTCAGCTGGAGAAACCCAAGTGTGTAGGAGCTGTAAAACTAGTGGGTGCTGGCAGGCTGTTGCCAGGCAGCAAGGGTCCAGCTGGGGGTCTGAGGTCTGAGGTGCAAAAGAGACTAGTGTCTAGGCCCAGAGGAATCCCTGTGATGTGGTGCATGGATCAGCCAACTATGGGTGTTGCCACCAAGTGAGGCCAAATCCAAAGGCTGTGACATGGTCAGATGCCATCCCAATCAGGTGGACATGGATGTACATGGGGCCCCAGTGTAGGGTCCAGGGGCTAGCCTGGCTGACAGGGTGTGGACAGTAATTGCTGGTACTGGTGTTGCCCTTGGATGCCACGGAAGACACCCTGTGAGAGTGTCTGAGCCTCTCTGATGTTGCTATTAAACGGACAAGGAAGCAGGAGCCTCAGGATGCTGAGCAACTTTCCCCGAGTACACAGAGTGGAAGTGATAGAGTCAGGGTGTGAACTTAGCCCATCAGCCGCACCGTTCTGCAAGGAGCAGATGCAGGAAGTGCAGTGCTCCTGAGGCCTTTCCGGGCACCGTCTCAGCACATGGGACTCCACTCTTAGAGCCGTTGGCTCCCTCCTGGTCCTTTTGCCGCTGGGCAAATCCCCCCAGTGAACCACATCTCTGGTCTTTTGTTAATTCAGGTCCTGGGCGCCAAGAGTGGGGAGGAAGGTGCTGAACTTAAGGTTCTGTGAGGCCGCGACTAGCTTCCATTCACTCAGTAAGAGTGCAGGGAAACGACTCAGGCACTCCCGCTCCTTGAACCATGTTCTTGATGCTTCACCTGCCGAGTGCTTCAGAATCCTTTGGAGGAGCGGTCCACTGCATGACGGTGTTCTCTGCCTTTTAAAGATGTATTTGTTTATGTCAAAGATGAGGTGACTTAGAGAGAGTAATCTTTCATTTACTGGTCCACTTTCCAAATGATTGCAAAAGTCAGGACTGGGCCAGGTTGAAGCCATGAACTCCAGTAAGGTCCCCAACATGGGTGCCAGGATCCAAGCACTTGGGCCATCACCCAGTGCTTTTCCAGGTGCATTTGCAGGAAGCTAGATTAGAAACAGATCAGTCTGGATTTGACCTGTGCTCCCATATGGGATGCTGGATTTGTAAGCGCTAACCTTTCTCTTTTGAGAAACCCATGGTTGTCTCCTACCTGCAAAGGCTTTCTCAGGCCACACCCCCGCCCCTTTCCCTGTGTCCTGCCACAGGCCAAGGTGTGCTAGTTGGCACTGACCTCATCTGTCTCTCTGATCTCTTTGCAGAGCTCTGGAGCTCATCAGTGACAAAGATGAGATCTCCCTGTTGGTGGAGCAGGAGTTCCTAAGCCTCACCAAAGAGCACTTCATCCCGGTCAAGGAGGGATCGGGAGAACTGGAGATATCGGGCTGCTGCCCTGAGGAGACCAAGGAACCAGCTTCCTGCGCCTCGGCACCTCCCGTGGTGGCAAGCAGCTGTGAGCACCCAGAAGCCACCGTCAGTGCCACTGACGAGCTGGTGGAGCAGAAGGCAGCTGTGCCTGTCATCGAGGCCCTGCAGGACTGTGATTCTGCCACGTCCACTGTCACCGACACCCAACCTGCCAACAAGGTCAAGAGTGCCACAGAGACAGAGAATGGGGGCCACAGTCTGGGGGCCTCCAACTCGAAGATCAGCAAACTCCTGGCTCAATTTCCACCGAAATCCAAAGAGACATCCAAGACCCTTGACAACAAGACGGTCCTGGAGGAGACCAAGGTCATCAAGGACTTCTTGCAGAACAGCATATTCAGTGACTCTGAGCCCAGTGAGACCCCAGGGCTGGGCTCCTTCCTGCTGTTGCCACCTACACCTCCTCTCAAGACCTCTGACAAACTCCCTGAGCTCCCTGCTCATAAGAAGCAGCTCCCCGTGTTTGCCAAGATCTGTTCCAAGCCTGAGGCTGACCCTGAAGAGCACCCATTGCTGCAGGGTAAGCAGGGCAGGGCACAGTGGCCAAGAGTGGACCTGCATGGGGAAAGGGGAGTCTTCCTAGGCAGCTGGTCAGGGCCACAGTATGCAGTAGAAGCCTTCTTGTGCAAAGCAGGGCAAAGCAGCCTATAGTGTGCACAGCTTCTAGGGGCAGGTCTGCCCTGTTGCTGCTGTCCAAGGGCAGGATACAGCTTGTGCATGCAAATCCAGAGGCCCTACTAGTCCCAACATGCATTGAGAAAGGGGATAGATACTAGGAGTACCTATCCACATTTTTATTTCTACTTTAAAAATAATATTTACTTTGTTTTGATTCAAAAAAGAGAAAAAAGAACTTCCATTTGCTGGTTCAATCCCAATAGATAAGGTGAGCCAGGCTGAAGCCAAGAGCCCGGAATTCAGTCTGGCTGTCCCACATGGCTGGCAGGAACCCAAGCCCCAGAGCTGTCACCTGCTCCTTCCTAGGACGTGCGTTAGCAGGGGCCTGGAATAGAAACAGATGAACCAGGATGCAAACCCAGGCATTCTACTGTGGGGTACAAAATTTCATGTGATGTCTTAGCCACCTGCCTCTGGTTGAATGTGGTTGAGCCATGTGTTGAATCCTCCAGCAATCCAGAGTGAGTGAAGGAAGGCCTTGGTAAAGCGGTTTAACTGGCAGCTACAGTAATTAGGCTTCCAAGGGAGGTATGTGCTCTGTCCACAAAGCCTGATCCTCCTTGGGGCAAGGAGTGAGTACATACATTTTCTAGGGATGGTTGAGACTCTTGACCCTGGATTTGTTACCCAGGGCTCCAGCAGCTCACAAAGTGCAACCGCATTAGCTCCATTCCCTTCCTGGGAAAACCAACTGTCTTCCAAATTATCCTCACCTTCTCCCCCACAGTTCAGCATTTTGTTTTGTTTTTGTTTTTCCTGATCTACAGGCTCTTGGCAGTGGTATTTGTCCATACTTAGTAGTCATTAGGAGAGCAGATCAGACTCATGCCACTGAGAGGAAAAATGAGATCCTAGTCTGTGACAAGTATAGATGGATACCTGCCAGGGCCATGGATCAAGAGGGCCTGTATCCATCTGTCTGAGAAGCAGGAGCAAGGTCCCCCACGAGTGTGTTGTGAGGCACTGCAGGTTGGCTGAGGAATTTGAGCTATGGCAAGTGATCTGGAATCTTGGTGCTGGACAGGCTGGAGCAGCCTTATGATGATGGGATAGGGGTGTGAAAGGGCTGAGCCCCAATGAGGAAAGCTCCCTAGTGAATGGGGCTGCTGGGTTCTAACCACCTGTTCCATCTCATGTGCATGTCCGTGTGTGTGTCTATGTGTGCAAGTATGTTGGCCAAAAAGTGCTGAAGTGAGCTTTGAAAACACAAGTGTGATGCTTCTGATGTCTCTGTACATCTCTGTGTATATGTGTCATGTGTGTGATTGTAAATGTGTGAGTGAGACAAAGGAATGGCGGGCAGGGATGTGTGGGCCTGGATCTTGGAGGAAGGAGCTGGGTAGGTGTTTAAGGCAGCTGTAAGTATGTGTTTAAGGCTGCAGGTGCGGCAGTCTCTGGGGAGAGGGCTATTATTAGTGAGTACTGATATTTCCGCATACTGGCTGTGGCCTAAACTCAGCAACCGGAGGAACTCTTGGAGGAGACTCTAGGGATGTATTTTGCTAAAAATGTTGCTGTCTCCTAAATTGGCTTAGACTAACACAGCTCTTTCCCGTGCTCGGATGGTACAAGGAGGGCAGGCCCAGATCCATTCTAGAAATTGAGGCTGCACTGCTGGGGCTCCAAGAGCCGAGCAGGTGAAGTCCACTGTCAACAGGAAATCCTGAGGCCCAAGTCCCCTGACAGGGCCACTCTCAGGGACAACCCAGAGGCTTACAGCATGACTCGCATGGAGGGCAATCATAGGAGAGATTGGCCAGGTCTCTTAGCCAAGCACCGAGGACACCTTGTAAGATCCCAGGTCAGGGAAAGGTCAGAGGGGGCTGGGTGGATGGACAAAGCTCCCTTCCCTGCTTCCACAATGGCAATGCCTCAAAAATGGAAAAAGAAATTGTTTATACAGCTTTCTTCCCACTAACAGATTTCTTCCCTGTGTTTTATCACGAGGACGAGTTCCATTGCTAAGGAAAAACTGCAGGGACACTTAAAGAAGATCATGGAAAAGTAGAATTCAAAGATAAGCTTGCTTTGGGGACAAAAATGTTGAAACCCATGCGTTGGCCATTCCTAATACATGTTTTCCAGGACATTCAGGGGCCCCATGTGAGGGAGGACCATGGCAGAGGGCTCTGTGGTGGTGTAGACACAGTCATTCTGAGATGGCTACTCAGCCCATGTGCAGAGACTCAAAATTGGCACTAGTTGTGCCCTGACTCCACACCCTGGCCATCTCCATTGACTGCCCCAAGTCCCATGTCTATAACCTCTGGCCCATTTCTATTCCTATCTTGCTTTTGTTCAAGATGTGTCTGGTCTTGCTGAAATCCTCCTTTCTTTTGGGGGACAAAACTCCTCTCAGACACAAAGTGGATTCAGCCATCCTCTTCTCCCATTGTGTCCTCTGTCACCTTTGGGGCCCACCTGCCTTGTCCCAGAGCTATTTCTGAGCATGCCTCTCTTGCCTTGCTTGTGATGAGCTACTGCTGGGCCGACTGGCTCTGACTCATCACCGTGTCCCCAGTGCTCAGGGTAGGGTCTGGAGCTGACAAACAAGCTGAATCACCTGTGAGCCACAGACAGAAACAGAGGTGTGATATTGAGCCAAACTGTAGGGCCCAAGTTGTGGAAATGTGTATCTCTACTAAGCACCCAGTTTCACAGTCCTTCAAAGCAAGACTGTGCTCACATCGTGTTTGTGCCTCCAGTTCCGGCATATAGATGGTTGGAAGGAAGAGAGGAGGGAGTGAGGGGGCAAAAAAAAAAAAAAAAAAAAAGAAAGAAAGAAAGAAAGGAAAGGAAAAATGGAAGGAAAAAGGGTGAAAAAAGGATAGTTGAAGAAATGACTAATATAGGGCCCGGCGCGGTGGCACAGTGGTTAAGGTCCTCACCTTGCACGCCCGGGATCCCATATGGGCGCCGGTTTTATCCCGGCAGCCCCGCTTCCCTTCCCGCTCCCTGCCTGTGGCCCGGGGAAGGCAGTCAAGGATGGCCCAAACTTTGGGACCCTGCACCCACGTGGGAGACCCGGAAGAGGCTCCTGGCTTCGGATCGGCATAGCACCGGCGTTGTGCTCACTTGGGGAATGAATCATCGGATGGAAGATCTTCCTCTCTGTCTCTCCTCTCTGTATATCCGCCTTTCCAATGAAAAAATAATAAAAATAAATCTTAAAAAAAAAGGAAATGACTAATATAAAAAAGATAAAAAAGGATGAATTCATGCACATAAAGGGAAAAGGAAACTAACAATGGATGCATAGGTAGGTGGATGGGTGGATGGACGCAAGGATTGGTAAAAGAATGGGCAAATAGATGGGGAAGGTGAATGGATGAGTGGGTATTGGTGATCGAGTTGATGGGTAGGTGGATAATGGGTAGGTGAGTGGATGGGTAGATTACTGGATGGGTGGATTTTTGTGTGATATATGTGTGGATGGATGGATGAATGTATGCATGAGTGGGTAGAGGAATAGGTGGAAGGTTGCAAGAGTGGATGGTTGAATGGATATGTAACTGTGTGGATAAGTAGATGGGTGGGTGGAAGGATGGATGGATGGTGGGTGTGTTGTGTAAGAGGTGGATGGTTGGATGGGTGGGTGGAGCATGGATGTGTGAATAGATGGATTGTAGGCAGATGGATGGAGGTAAAGGGAAAGGAAAGGATAGATGAATAAACAGATGGATGCATGAAGACAGAAGGGCTGGACTGAGCAATGGTCAGGGTAAGTTTCAAGGACAGGCTGAGCTGTGTATATGTGGCTGAGAGACACTGTCCTCTTGAGTGGTCTGGGTCTCAGGTATGTGGTGTGGAGGAGCCATCATGCTTTCCATAAGATGGTGCTTCCCTACACCCAATATGTTCTCCTCTCCAGGCATTTATTTATTTCTCTCCTGCTATAGAACAGAACTCTGTCAACAAAGACTCAACCAAGTGTCGAGACAACTTCTTTGTTAGCCTGTGGCCCCAGAATCGGAAGGATACCTGTGGTGAGGAGGGTTGCAATGACCCAGTGGGTACCCCATCCATGACTGTACCATCCAAGAAGCCTGTATGGCCCGCTGAGAAGAATCTGCTCTCTGAGTTCCTTGGAGCTACCAAAAACCCAAGTGGGCAGCTGAAGTTTCGCAACAGAGTGGATGTGGAGGGACTGGACCCGAAATGTAAGCAAATCCAGGGAGGGGCTGCAGAAGAATGATGGGATTCCAAACATACTCCTAGGCCCAAGAGGTGGCTGGGTCACCAAGAAGCTGCCCAAACCATGGGCAAGTCACTTCCTTTTTCAGCCAAATGAGCTGGCTTTCTCTCTATCATTCTTATTGAAAAAACAATTACCAGCAAAGGGTTACACCCTTTTTCTGCCAAGGGCTGTTTAGATATTATAACATCATTCATGAGCCACATATGACTAGCAGCTTAGAAAGCCTGCTATAGATTTACTGAAAGCAGAATGCTGGCTGTGCTTATCTTGGTAGAGCCAGCCAGACCTTCTATGTCTTATGGGCTAGATGTTCCCTACTCCAGTAGCTAGAGTTTTAGTAGCGGTCGATTTTGAATATAGCCTTGACCCAGCATAGATTGCATCCTCTCACACTTCCCAAGACAGAAAAATCCCATGCTTTAGATCATTTAGATGTAATTAGATATTGCATACTTGAGCTATTTAGATTATTCGTATCTCTACTTTCCCTCCCCAACACTAGTCCAATTATTTCAGTCAAATTTCCTTCCCCAAAAGATGCCAAGAAAATAGAAATCAAAGACCCCTTTCTGATCCTATCAACCTGCAGGATAACCTGTAGAGGAGGAGAAATGAGAATTTATATCCTGAAACAGCTCAACCTGATCACATTCAACCACATAGTTTTAAGCCACTGTGCCCTAAATTACTTAACCTTTAAAAAAATTTAATAATTATTTCTATATGGATAATATTCTGTGCAAGACACACAAAGTGTGTGTCTTGGGGCAGCAGGACTGCTTTTTTAATTTGATAAGAATGAATTCCCATAGGATAGCAGTTGTTGATTAAAGAAAAACAGTGAATTTTATTCGAGCACTTGAAAGGATGTGGTTTTGTAAGTAAAACAAAGCTCTAGAAATCAGGTCCATTTTTATTCCCTGTTAAACTGTCTCCTCTGTGAATGGCAGAAACGCCAGTCCATGCTGGGATTTCCATCTCTTCCAAACACACAAAGTATGAACCAGTGTTGCATTCGTAGAGAAGCTCATCAGGACTTTGAAAAGCCTTGTTAGAGTTTCAGGGGCCTGGCCTGGGGCAGTCATGCTACTGCAGGCCCCTGCCTCCCTCACTGACATGCTCTACCTCTCCTGTGATTTGCAGTTAATCCACCTGTCACAGCTACTGACAAGAACATCAAGTACACAGGGAACGTTTTCAACCCTCGTTTTGCCACAGCTTTGACCTCAGCAAATCTGAACCAGCCACTCTGGCTCAACCTGAACTATCCACCTGCACCTGTGTATCCCAATCACTCAGCTTTCCCACAGTATCAGGTGAGTGGGTCCTGGGACTCCAGGTGGCCATCCACGTAGGATCTGACCCTGTTGGGAGTATGGTTTGTTGGGACCCGGCTTCATAATAAACCTTTGGACTCTCTTTAAAGGCCATCCTCCAATCTCTACTCTCCATGGGGTCTACACATGACACCACCAACTTGTCAACTTGTTAGTGATTATGGCTGCTAAGGTACACACACACACACACACACACACACACACACACACACACCACATGAGTTCTCTTTTTCCAATTCCTGGAATCTGGTTTGCTTTGTACCATTTATTTCAAAGCTGCTTTGCTAGTTGTGGCTGGTTAAGTGCTGGGGACCCTAGAATAAAATGGGTCATAGTTCTCTTGCCTATCAGTTTCCTGTGACTTTCTTTAAAGTTGGGTGTTAATTATTCTGTGGGCTCTTTGGGACAATCTGTGTCTTTTGCCCCAGAACACTCAGCAATGCCATCTCTGCCTTGCTCTTGAAAGCCCTGGTTTGGATGACAAATTATATGACTACCATATTCAAACCACAAGCAAGCTGTCTTAGTTTGTACCACCTAAGGTGGCTAGGCACAAACTCTTGTTCTTGGACTCATAGCTAGAAGAGGATTTATGGCCAGACACACAGGAGTGGCGAAACACTTGTAGCTGGGTTGGAAATTCTACTCACAGAACTTATTTATGCAGGGAAAATGTAGTTTCTTTATCTTGTCCATTTAACTTAATATCCCTTAAGAGCTGTCGCCCACTTGGTAGAAGGAGGGGAAAAATCAAATAAACGTCCACTCTGGTTTAAACCTTTGTCCAATCCAATAACTAAAGCAGTCCTTCTGGATAGTGCTGCTTGTTTTTCAGGAAAGCTGCTCAGTGTCTTCAGATTTCTCCATCTCTGACTTGCTCCCACCTCTTCCATCTGGCTCTTTGCCAGAACGTATATAGTTGTATGGTGGAGGCCAGGGCCTTGCATTTGTAGATTCATGGTCTACACCCTTGGCAAGCTGTGGCCCTAATCTGGTGCAGCAAAACCTGTAGAAGGAAATCTACTGATAATCCTCCTCTGGGTCCTGTCACAGCCCCCATGTCATTTCCTCCTCTGTAGCAGAGCAGATAAGCCTAGTGACTTTAGTGTCCTAGATGCCAAAGGACTCTCTCTGAGCTGGTCCTCTGGACATAGCTCTGACATCTTCACAGAATTTAGCCAAGTCGTTCTCACTTCTTTCCAAGTCATTCTGCTTGTGTGCTGAAGGGATCAAGTACCCAGAGTCTGTCCTGGAAAAAGCCTCCTACCCAGCACCAAAGGGAGAGGTTGCAGAGAAAGGCTCCAAATGGAAATTCAGTATTAATTCCATGCCCATCATATAGTCTCCTTACACAAGTCTTGGACTAAAATAATGCCATGATCATTGAGTGACTGACTCCTTCATTCTTGCCTGTTCTTCTTCCCTTGCACTTTGGGGCCTGCTGGTCCACTGTTGATTCAACCACATTCTCCTTATTCTTTAGTTCTTCATTCACTTAAATGATTTTGCAAACCTATGCTCCACACTCTCCACCACTGGGCTGGGAGAGAGGATTCAAAGATGATCAAGAGGCTAGAGACTAACACAAGTTCAGGACTAAACCACAGAGCAGTCCTGCACCTCTGTCTGCTGCAAGAGAAACAATTACATACTTTTATTTAGTGTAAACCAGTTGGCTCTAAAATGCGCTTCCAGAGTGCACCGTGTAAAAAGCTAATTTAAATGGTTTGCTTTGCTAAGTTGGGGTCGTTTCTCTTTGTTATGTTAATTTCCTTGGACTTGACTATTTGAGTGGAAGAGGCTTCCTCCTCATTCAGAGATGCTAGTATTCCCAGGGCAGGGCCAATTCCCTGAAGTTCTCCAGCCTCTGTGTATAGGCGGTAGGTGGCTGTGGCTTGGTAGGACCTGCTGGGACTGAACAGGTTCAGCTGGGGTTTGCCATGGGAAGATTGACTCTTTCAGGTCGGAACAAAAGAGCCTCATTTGCTTCTTCCCAGGTAGTCCTAAAACAGCTGCTTAGGCCTGAGTTAATGTCAAGAAGGTAGGTTTTGAAGTGCAGTAACTTTGAGCTTCAAGGCTTCAAGGTTCTGCTACCTCTAAGCTGTGTGGCCTGGGGTAAGCTAGTTGACCACTTTGAGTCCGGGATTCCTTGCCTGTGAAATGGTTTCCCTGCCATCATGACAACTGCAGCAGCAGCAGCATCCACTAATTTCTGCTGCAAGGAATCACCAAGTCCATGAATGGGAAAAGACACTGCCAAATCTTGTACGGGATGGAGATTTTTTTTTTTTATCCGACCCTGGTTGTCTTAAGGAAATGGGGTCAGGGATTGGCAGGCCTTGAGAGGACAGAGAAGGTAGATAGGGAATGGCTTTTCCTGGTCTTTCCTCTGCTTGGCGCTAAGAGTAGAGAGGAAAGCCCAAATCCAATTTGCTCAGAGGTCTGCTGTGGAGGGACTTTGAGAAATGGGAGACAGAGGCCTCGACCCTGGGGAGCCGCAGAGGTTTCTAGGCTGCTTGATGAGAAGGAACTCTGCTCGCAAGTAAGCAGGGAGAAGGCAGATGGGGGAAGACCACGACCTCCAGCCGAGAAGACTGAGCATTTATTTAGTTTCCATTGTGATTTTGCAAAATTTCAATTCCACAATAATCACAATTCTGTGCTGATGAATATGTGGCCTTCTCCTGAAACTTTGCTGTCGGGTGCAGCTGAGTAGGACCACACTCTCCTGCACGGGCCAGGCTGGGGTGGGGAGGCCTGCCATCCTGCAGTCCAGGAAAGTTGGCTGCTTTAACGAGGTTGAACAGGGGTGAATTAGAGGAGAGACACTTAGTGGAATGCTCAGGGGTGTTGGAGAACTGGGCATGGGCAAGGACGCTTGCTCCTTGGACTTCTCTGTCCAGGAACAGGCCAAGGCTGAGGTTTCAGGGACCATCCTGTGGTCGTAATGGTGAGTGAGGCTGACAAAGTGTCAGGCTGGGAACTGGTGTCAGGTGGGAGATGCCCCTGTGCAGGATCCTAAGTACTCTGTGTACTGGGGAGAGAGCCAGGAGGGACACGCAGAGGGCTTGCACTCACTCTTGGGAACCTGCCAAGTGGGGCACCAGGATTTCTGGGAGACATTCCCATATATCAGAGGACTCAAGGCCTTTTGTGAGGAGCTCATGGCAGGTCAAGAGTGGTAGTGTTGGCTGCCAACACCTTGATAATCAGCACAAGCTTAGCCCATGAGGAAAGCTGTGTCTGCATGGGTTGCTGTCCTGGGGTGAGAGGAGCTTTGGGCATTGACCTTTACCTTGGGAGTACCTCTGGATTGGCAGTTAAGGGCATAGTCAGAGACTGAAAAAGGGTTATGTGCATGTGTCGAGGGGGGTAGTCTTGTGTCTATGTGTATACATGAACACCCCACAGTGACCCCATGGAGAGCTGTGAACAAAATTTCCATTCTCCATCTGGCTCAGTTGCTAGAGAGCCTTTGCTAAGGAGTAGGTGTGAGAGATGAGGAGCAGACCTGACTGCTGCAGACTCTGTACACATGCTGGGCATCAGCCAATGCTTTAGATAATTAACTCACTTATCCTCCCAGCAGTCTTCATGGGCAGCTTCTAGAAACAGGCATATGTGTGTGCGCACAGACGCTCAGCAACAGAAACTCAAAGCTAATGCATCTGATTCCCGGTTGTACATTTGTACACAACCCATGGACACAAATGCAAGCACATGTGCAGATGTACTTAAGAAAACATGAATGCAAATCAACACACACACACACACACACACACACACACATGCGCGCGTGCACACACACACACAGGTGTACATGGCTACCACAAGTCCTTGGGCATGAATGGGAATTAAGGAAAGGCATTTTGACGAGGTATGTGGGCATTGATAAAGATGGTGTGGCCACCCTCGCAAGCTTTGCAGGCCCTATTCTGAAGGGATTCAGAAAGCTGAAGTGACTGTTCCAAGGTCACCAAGATGGGAAGGGGTAGATCTGGGATTCCAGGGGCAGTTAAGTGCTTGAAATTTGCATCATATATGCTCACCAAAAAGGCTGTAAAGTCTGTTCATATCAGGTTTCCCATAAGGTGTATGTTCTATTTGCCCCATCTGCTCCCAAATGAGCCATTTGCAGATCCAGGAATGGGAGCCACCGGCTGAGCAGAGTGGCTGTTGCTGGTTGGCTGGGCACCCTTGTCCAGCAGCAATGAGCCTCCTCCTCTCTCCCTAGGGCCTGTACCCACCCCGGGCTACAAGGATGCCATACCAACAGGCAGTGCACCCGCAGCTGGGATGTTACCCCCGGCAGGTGAGTAGACCACCTCCCATCCCTGCCTCAGTTCCATGAAGAGCTCCAGGAGTCTGAGACCACTGTTTCCCCTGGCCTTTCTGAGCTGGTCACCAAGATACTTTGTGACCACTGTTGTCTGCACACATATGTCCCAACATGCATGTAAAAACAAACCAATGTCCCTGAGTGGCAATAACAGTTGGCACTTAATGGAGTCCCTCTTGTGTGCCAGGACCTTGTCTGAACGATCTACCTGCACTAACTACTAACTACTCTACCCATGAGGCAAGTGACAAATGAGGAAGCTGAGTTCAGGGGAATACACTAACAGTAGCTGTTATTTATCTGTAATTTCAATTTGACTGTATCTTATAAAGATTTATTTATTTTAATTGGAGAGGCAGATTTACACACACACACACACACACACACACACACACACACACACACACACAGAAGAGAAAGAAGAGAGAAAGAGAGAGAATCGGTCTTTTGTCTGCTTGTTCACTGCCCAAGTGGCCACAATGGCCAGAGTTGAGCTGATCTGAAACCAGGAGCCTAGAGCTTCTTTTGGGTCTCCCACAAGGTTGCAGGGTTACAAGGCTTTGGGCTGTTCTCTTCTTCTTTTCAAGGCCATAAGCAGGGAGCTAGATAGGAAGCAGGGCCACTGTAATTAGAACCAATGCCCATATGGGCTGCTGGTGCTGCAGGTGGAGAATTAGACGGATAAGCCACTGCATCGGTACCTGAGTGTCCCATGCTTTTCTTTTTAATATTTATTAGAAAGGCAGAGTTACAGAGAGGGGAGATACAGCCCCCAGCCACACACAGATATTGTCCATCCTCTGATTCACTGACCAAATGGCTTCATCAGCTGCGGCTGAGCCAGGACAAAGCCAAGAACCAGGGGCTTCATCCTACATATCCTGCACACAGCGACCAAGGACTTGGGGGCCATTCACGATGGTTTTCCCAGGCACAATAGCAAGAAGCTGAAATCAGAACTGAAGGAGGTGGGACATGAACTGGTGATGCTAGTGTCACAGGTGATGACTTAATTTACTACCTCACAATGCTGGCCCCAAGCTTCTGTGTTTTTATTTGCTGAGTTATATATGGGAAGATTGGGGATGACTCTTGGCTGGACAGTAAGAGGAGGGCAGAGTTGCCATCTAGCTTTGGACAGCCTGGCACTCCTAGTCCATGCTTTACCGGCCTGGGACACGGATATGCAAAAGTGTAGCATGCAGGATCAAAACAAAGTAGAGGAGATGGGCATAGAAACACACCCGGAAGTGGATTGTAATATGGATGGGGTTAGTCACCAAGCAGCCTGAGCACACAGGTGTGCCCACCTGTGAACAGACCCAGAAACTGGGCAAGGCAGTGGAGTGTTGGAGCATGGCTGGAATGTGAGAAAGGGGCTGGGCACAGGAGCACAGAGGCATCAAACACTGAGCTGCTTCACTCCCAAGATGGCTGTGCAGCCTCCTGACAGGTGAACAGCCCCCACTCTCCAACCCATGAGCTCCACTGCCTCTCCTTTCTCCCAGGGAGCCCCACCATTCCTCTGTCAGCTGGGGAAGGGTCCATAGGCGTAGGTTACTTGAGTTCCCCGGGCCAGGACTGCTGTGGAGCTCTTTGTCTCCTGAGATGAAGCGAGGCTGTTGGAGTCTCCATCACTTCTTCATCTCGCAGGCAGTGATAGGGTCCTGGATCCAGAGTCATGTAGTGTGTGTGTGTGTGTGTGTGTGTGTGTGTGTGTGTGTGTGTGTGTGTGAAGCAATAAAAATGGTAAAGAAAAAGGTAAAACTTCAGGCAACCGCTACTGCTTTCCTCCATCCCCTTTCAAGGACATTTACCAGGGATGAGGAAAGCTTTTCTGCTGAGGGTCATACACCATGATCAACTTAAAAATGAAGCTCCTGTAGACTCCTGTTTTTGAATTTAAAGTCCTGCCTATGTTGCCCAAACAGAGCAAGAACCAGACTACATGATTTTACAGGCCTTATACATGGCCAGGGGCCAGCCATTTTCCACCTCCCTTTTATATAGAAGCTTTATACACACACACACACATACACACACATATATATACACATACTTTTGTATGTGTATAGATACACATATGTGGCATTCCAAGCATGCTGTTGGACTGTTTTTGTCAGGAAAGAAGAAATTTGGAGAAGTTTGAGCAATACACAAAACTCTGTCTTATGTGTTAATTCCGTGGAATCAGGGATATGCTTGCATTTCTTACTTGGGAGACAGAGTGAGAGTCATACAGAAAACTTACATCTATAAGTTCACACTCTCCAAATGTCTGCAGGGGCTGGGCTGGGCCTGGCTGATGCCAGGAACTAGAAACTCAATCCAGGTCTCCCATGTGGATGGCAAGGCCCTCACTACTTGAGCCTTCACCCGCTGCCTTCCAGGGTTTGGGTTAACAGGAAGCTGCAGTCCAGAGCCATAACCAAGGCTCAAAACCATGCACTTGGATATGGGACAGATGTCTTGACTGCCATCTCATCCACCAGCGCAAACATTTGCCCCTAAAGGTAGGCTTTTAGACAGAGCCCAAGGACCCTGGCTTCCTCCCACCGTCAAGATCAGGGCAGTCTGTGCTCGCTGCCTGCATGGCACTAGGGTCTCCGGGTGGTGCCCTCCTGGTCTTTCCAATGGGCTTGATGAGTTTGCCCTCTGGCGGCCTTGGTTACCTTGTCCAGCCTCACTGGGTCTCACATCCCCACTGGGGGATTTTTGCACAAACCTTAAAAGTGGGACTCAGATGTCCAGAAGGCACAGCAGAGAGAAGCCTGACCAAAGGGTATAGACTCTCAGTAACCCTTGGGGGGGGGGGGGTCCTTCCTGCAGCACACACCCTGGAAGTACAGGGAAATCACTCAACTTCCCTGGGTCTTAGTTTTCCTCATTTGGGAGGTGGGAATGATGGGATCATTCAGAGTTCCAAAGGAGGATGCACAGGAAGGGTTTGGCATACCATCCAAGGCACTGGTAGGTGCTGGCTTTTGGGGTTGCAAGGTAGGAGAGGGCTGGCTGGGTGTCAAATCCTTGAGTTGGTCACCCCCAGATTCTGCTTACAAAGCAGAGAGGCAGAAGCATCTGCACTTCTCTGTGGACCTGCCCTGCCCTGCACACACGGGGAGAGCCATCATCAGATATGGCTCACTCATGTTTGGAGACGTCAGTGGTGGAATACGGTGTTCATGACGTCAGGAGCTCCCTGTCATTTTAAGTGTTCCAGCAGATGTTAAGTGGTCGCGTCTCTTCTCCTTCCCTCTTGCCCATTTTGCATTCATTCAAGATGTGCTAGTTGAGCAGCTGTGATGTCTTAGCACCGGGGACTTGTCAGGCAACAAGACATGAGGTCCTGGCCTTGTCAGAAGCAAGGAGGGAGTCCCGGTGATGGGTGATGGGGCTGTGTCCCGAGTTCAGCTCCTCCCCCTACCATGTGCATCCCAGTGCACTTTAGTGCCCTTTCTCAGAGACTCCGACTGTCTGTCATGTCGATCACCTGCCACGTGCGGCTGTGTGTATTTGTGTACTTGTGGCTGTATTCCAGGGTGTGTGCCTGTTCCAGGATGGCTGTCATGGAGAGCAGTGTGGAGACCACTGTCCCCAGGGCAAGACATCTCTTCCCACCTCCCACTTCCCACCTCCCTGGGCCAGATGTCTGGGCTGTGGGACTCATGCTGATCGGGAGCTTACTGTTAGGGGAAAGTGAATGGCTACGGCAAAGCAGGTTGGGAGGCAGGGACAAGAGCACAAAGACTTACTCATTCTCTGTTACATGTCTATCTCTCCATTGTCACATGTTGTAGGTAGCTTGTCCATTATATAGATGAAGAAACCAAGTCTCAGATAAACTCAATAAATTACCAGATTACTGCAGAGGCTGAGCTCTGTGCTTTTCCCTTCCATGTACCCAACAGTGAACGGAGACCCAGGGGCTAAGGGAGTGGTGGCTGTGCTTTGTGTTAGGGCTGGGAGAGGCGATCTCACCCCTTCCTCCCCTCTGGCAGGTAACGCCGTACAACCCACAGCAGATGGGACAGCAGATTTTCCGCTCTTCCTGCCCCCCACTGCTGAGCTACGTCCCCATCGTCCAGCCCAACTACCCGTATCCCCAGAGGACACCTCCAAAGCTGTCCACCAATCCACGAGACCCTTCCCCCATGGCAGGAGATGGGCCGCAGATCCTCCTCCCCCAGGTGTATGGGTGAGTATGCAGCCCATGTTTAGTTCCCTCATGCAGCCCGGGAACTGCTGGAGAGGGGAGTGAAGGGGCAGGACTGGTAGACTTCATAGAGTGTGTTTGTCTCATGACTATGGGGAATGGATGGTCTTATACTGACGGCCAGTGGCTCTATTAGTCTTAGAGAGACCAAGAGTAGAAGTGGTTAGGGCCTAGGGACCTGGGGATCCCTTTGGTAGGTCTGATTAGGGGGCTGCTGTTCTCCAATCTGGGGGCAGAACAGCAATAACAGTTAAGTGGATGCCCCACTTCGTGGACTATAGCAGATGGTAGAGCCTGACGCAATGCTGTCACCCATTGCTTAGTGTCCAGTGGGACCTGGACAGGTAATCTTCTTATTGCTCTCTCTTCCCCACACTGCCTCCCAAGCTCCTTGCCAGGCTAATCCCCCTGCACATCCCAGTGACTTCAAGGCAGGCCCTGCTGAAGGGCCTTCGACTGCTTATCAGGGCTGCTCACACTTTTTCATCAAGGGACCCCTGTGAGCAGAGGAGAGGAGACATTTCCTGGGATGGTCTGAGGGCTTAGCAGCTAGCAGCTAACACAAGCACAATAAGTCAGCTGAAAATTTCACCCAAAGCTTGCATACTGTTGAGTAACAGAATTGAGTCTCTCTTCATATAGCCATAAATAACCTTCCCTTCCCTCCCATCAAAACTTCTACTATCGTGGATGTTTTAAGAGGCAGGCAATGCTAAGCTGCCCCTGTGGATCTGAGAGTTTTAGGCACACACTGGGGAAGGTGGATCCCAGGTTGAGAAATTTAGGGACTGGGAGGAGGGCCCAAACCCTGCAACCTGACACAGATTCATGCCTCCCACTTCTTGATCACAGCCAGCTCAGTTGGTATCAACCACACATCTCCACACACTCCTCACTTCCCCCAGGGTTTTCTGAATAACTTGGAAGACCTTAGTGGAAGGGATCAAGACTGGCAAGATGCTATGGTCAGATCTATTTAGGAAAAACTGTGAAACAAAAATAAACAGATTTCTTGACTATTGAACCCCTACATCATTTAATCTACAGTGCTTGGGAAATGTTCCAGAAGGTAACTGTTAGTATTAACGAGATATGAAACCCTCCAGATCCATTCTCCTTCCTTCCTTCCTTCCTTCCTTCCTTCCTTCCTTCCTTCCTTCCTTCCTTCCTCCCTTCCGTCCCTCCTCCCTCCCTCCCTTCCTTCCTTTCCTTCCTTCCTTCTTTCCTTCCTTCCCTCCTTGTCCATCTTCATGCCTTCCTGATCCTTCTGTCTCTCTCTCCTGTTGGATTCCCTTTCCCCTCTTCCTCCATCCCTACTCACAGCACATTTCTAACAACAGACCCTGGGGGAACCTGTGCTGAATCTTACAGTTGGTTTGCATTTAGTCTGTGGGGACCTGTAGATGTCTGGGACATACTTCATTTCTCCAGTGAGCCAAGGGCAGATGTGGGCACAGTGGTGTGAGTGCCTGGCTTGGTGAGACCTATCGGGGAAGCCCCAAGGCCATGGTCAGGAAGCTGTGGGGAGGTCCTGATAAGCAGTGGTAAGCAGCCATTGGAGGGGGCACTGACTTTTGGGTTTGACCCTTAGCTGTTGTGGGCATTTGGGAGTGAATTAGCCAATGGGAGCTCTGCCTGTTTGTCTCAGATAATTTTTAAAACTGAATTTTCCATGTGCCTGGTGCTTGAGCTAGACAGTGGGGATCCTGGTGTGAACAAGACTAAGTGTTTCCTTTCTGCTAAGGAGCTTACATTTCATGGCAGAGAGATGGACAGGAAGGAGTTAAGTAAGCCAATGCACAACATGAGGGCTTGGGAGTCAAGAAGAGAATCAAAGGAAGTCACTTGAACCACGATTTCAAGGAGTAAGAGAATGGATCCTACTCATGGGTGGGGGCCTGAGCATTCCGGGTAGAAGAAACCACAAGGGCTGGGCTCTGAGATGGGAGCAAGTGGCTAAGGCATTAAGTGAGGGTGAGAGTGGGTGAAGTTGGCATCAGAGAACCGACCAAGGCCAGGTAGATGGGATGGGCCTGGTAGGCATGGCGAGTTTTCCTTGAAGATGCTGATAGAAGCCATTAAGGCTTTGCAACAGGTCACAATGGATTACAAATTTCTGTAGTAAACAAATCCTGTTGGCCAGTGTATGAAGCATGAATTGTGGGGGCAAGCTCTGATGCAGGAGATTCAATCAGAGGTCTTCAGAACTGCATGAGCATGAGGTGGTGGTGCTGAAGACAAAGGGGGAGGGGTGCCCATGGGGGAAGTGAGAACATGGAAAGAGCTGGGGTGTTTGCTTTCTTGGTAAAATTGATGGAGCTTGATAATGATTGTATGTGAAAAAAGAAAAAAATGTGATAAAAATTCTACTTCCTAGGTTTTTGACTTCTGCAACTGGACGAGAGGCAATGCTAAAACACCAAGGCCAAGGTGTCACGAACATGGCTCTGTGTGTTGAGAATCAGGTGCTGGACATGTGACATTTAGGATGCTTGTTAGACCCATTGAGCAATGATAGGCAGGTGGAGTTAGGAGTCAGGAGCTCAGAGGAAAGGGAGGACTGGAAATCAGGCTGGGAGTCATTAGCATTTAGATGATATTGGAAGGTGTGGGATGGGATGGGAGCTCCAGGACTGAGCTCTGAAGCACCCAGCAGGTGGAGAGGATGGAAAGGCAGGGTACCCAAAGGGAGTTGCTGGGGAGGAGGGAGAAACAACGGGGGAGAGTGGAGTGCAGGAGGCCATGGGAAGAAATTGTGTCCTACAATCGGGAGAAGGGATGACAGTGATGAAAAAGGAAATGTGGGTGCTACAGAGAGGACAAGGGGAGCAGCAGACACGGGGCATGGTGGGAGCTTCCCTGTGGTGCTGGGTGGAGGACGATGGAGGTGAAGCCACCCAGCCAGGGCAAGGGGCATGGACTTGAGCAGAGAGTTTTGTCTGAGAGACAGGGAAGTCAGCACACCAGGTGGATTCAAGAGACAAAGCTGTATAATGTGGAGAGGAAGTAGGCAATGGTTTCAGCTACAGGAGAGCTCTTCCTTTCCCTCTGCCAGGACTGTGCGCCTGCAGATGCCAGAAAGGGAGAGCCACAATGTGCCTGGGAGATCAAAGGGGCACAAGTACAATGACACTGGAGATAGCGCAGAGAGACCAAACCAGGCCAGCTGGGATGTGTACTCACCTCATTCAATCAGCTTGAGCCTTTCCTCTGCGATGAAGCATTCTTTGATAACCATTATCTCCAAAGATTGCCCCTCTTCCTTTAGAACACATCCCATCCAGACCATGCCCATGGCAATTGCTCTGATCATTCTCACCCGAGAGGTGATAGATGTGTGAGTCAGATACACACACAGTATGCCATGAGTTATTGGCTATTGATAATTGCTAAACACTTACATATAAGTTGTAGCCTTGATTTCGCTCATCAGAATGGGATACGGGTTGACCTCATAATGACATCATATTTTACAATCATTTCTATTCTAAGGTGATTTTTGAAAGAGAAATAAATGGGGCTTCTGCTGATGGTCATTGCTTATCAGGTGCCTAACTGTGGGTCCTGGACCTGGTGAGCAGCCCCGATGATGTCCTTGCTCTCATGGAATTTGTTTTCATGAACAGGGAAAGACAGGAAACTCAGCCCCACTGTCCTGGGAGTCTCACAGTGAGTGGGGGGTACCCTGGGCAGTTGAAGTACCACAGGTTAAGGCAATGGCTGAATGTCATGGCAACTTTCCTCCCCAACCCAGTTCTTGCTATCTCCTTCAAGCCTTGGGAGGGTGGGCCTCTGGCAATATGATTGACCAGCTGAAAAGCAACGGAAAAGTTCTGGATTACATGAGATCCAGCCATTTGCTCTGCTGTGATTTGTACAAAGACCTGCTCTTATTCTTTTCATGGAGCCCAGACATTGGGTAAAGACACTGTAACAGGGCCCAAAGGATGAATAAATCATTCCATCTGGAGAGGTCCAGGGAGTTCTCACAGAGGAGGTGGCTTTTTAGTTCTGAAATAAGAACAGGAGTTTGTCAGGGAGAAAGAGTTGAGGTGTGTGCAGTCTGTCTTCGTGGGCAAAGCTCACAGCACACTAGCCCTTTCTTCCCCGGGGTCCTAGCAAAGCCATGGACACTAGTAATACCTGAAGGCTTACTCATGGGCCTGGTGTTGAAAAGAAGGGCCTTAAGCAGTGTGGTGCTCACAGAGAGGGCATGACCCCTCGTATTGCCCAAATTCGGAAATGGCATTCTTAGACCTGTCCCTAAAATCTCTGATGATGTTGTCAAGTTTGATGAGAAACGCACTTGATCCTCCAGGTGGATAGAGTGGTCCTAGGCATACAGGTAAGGTAGGGTGGCAGGTGTACAAGTAAGGAAAGGTGACAGATACACAGATCCAGAGAGGCTCCCTGCTGCATCGTCCTGGGCGTGGACCTAATCCACTGAGGCTCCTCACGACTTCCTGATCTGAGTTAGTGACAGAAGAAGTTCTTTATAACCCTCTAATTGTATCATTTTAATATTTTATTTTCCCAGAGCTAAAGCTTTTTGATTATGTTAAAGCTTGCAGGTTCCAAGTCTTCACAATCCTTGACAGCCACAAAACTATATATATATATATTTTTTTAAATTTATATTTATTTATTATTTTTCATAATCTCCCTGATGACATCAGGAATTTCATCCTGGCATTCCTCCTCTCTTTCAGGTTCGGCTCAACGTCTGGCGGGCCCCTGATGAATAGCCCCTATTTCTCTTCCAGTGGGAATGGCATCAATTTTTAGCTCCTCTTATTTCTCTCTCCTCCTCCCTTAGCCCTGGGCCTGGGGCTAAGGACTCTGGGATTCTGGATTCTGCAATATCTTGGTATGAAGTTTGGAAGGCCGAGGTTCTGACCAGGTCACAGCAGAAAGCAGCAAGACCAGATCCATCAACACACCAACACGTGCACACAGCCTCTCTGACACCCAACATGAACCACAAGTGTGCGCCCCTCATTTTCATACTCACTTGTTCAACCACATGTGCTCTTGTATTTAGCTAACCTGAGTGATTTTTGTTTTTGTTTTTGTTGGTAAACATAGAGGTAAGACATTTAATTTTAGGAAGTTTGTATCTTATGATAAAAGCATGAGCTGTTTGACATGATGTGTGCCTCTTTATTGTTGCTGTGTTCTGTGTGATCCTTACAGTTCAGTTTCCCCACGGGAGTTAAGATTTTCTCCGGATGTCAAAAAGAGACCAAGGGCCAGACTCATTGGAGTATTGCTTTCTGAAGGCAGGACCCTAGAGCTCAGAAACACAAGGGCCTATCTCTAATATCTAATACTCACTGCTCAGCGTCCCAGTTTATGCACCTCAGGAGTGGACATTATGTAAGCACTGTCCCTCCCTCACCCTACCCCCGCCAATGGCTCAGTCGGCTGGTTCTCCACCGCCAAAGTGCAGCATCCCATATGGGCACTGGCTCTTATCCCAGCTGCTCCACCTTTCACCCAGCTCCCTGCTTGTGGCCTGGGAGAACAGTAGGCAATGACCCAAAGCCATTGAGACCCTATACCCATGTGGGAGATCCAGAAGAATCTCCTAGATCCTGGCTTTGGATGAACTCAGCTCTAGCTATTATAGTCATTTGGGGAGTGAACCAGTAGATGGAATATCTTTCTTTCTGCCTTCCTTCTATTTATAAATCTGCCATTCCAATGGGAAAAAAAAATTCCTCTTGGGCAGAGGATGGGAAAATGTGGTCTAGAAACAACTTCAGCATTGATCCTGAACCTCGGTGATCTAACTCCCACGAGTGCACACCATTGCCAATGGAGAAGACACTGCCAAATTTACACCCAACGCCACTGTCTTGGAATCTAAGTTGTTCAGCTTTTACCTATGACTTTAACAAGGAAGTGTCATGCACAAGTGAGCCAACAGAGGAGCGCTGATGAGGTTTTAAAGTCTGATACTTACTGCCAGCAGTGGAGAATCGGCTCATGCCTCAAAGACCGCTCAACCTGGAACGGCAGAACTGCATGGTTTATCTTTATAAACCACAAACCAGGAGCAATGTAGGGGAACTGAGTGAATATACTGAACTAATGGAGAATTATCTCAGGGAAGAAAAATTACTAGTCATGAACTTTGCAAGCCTTCGTTGCTATTCCTGTGAGAGTCATTTTCCTCCTAGTCTTGCTTGAACAGGGGTTTGCACCTTCCGGCCATATAGGATGTGGATTTCTTGGCTGGGTTACACCCTCACGGGTGGGGCAGGTATCTCACCTAAGATGGAGTCCAGCTCCTCATGGAGTCCTTCATGTCATGCCTGTCATTTCAGAAGGCCACTGAGTGCATTGTGACAATAATTCTAGAGGGCACAAATTCAGGAAGAAGAGACAACCCGAATTCGTGACAGCACACATCCGTTAACTCTCCTTTTCCACATCCGTGACAGACACCACCAATCAATAATGGCATTCTATTCCCCTGAACCTGCGCAAAGCTACAAAATGATTCTCTCTGTGGTGCCCCAGGCAGCAATCACAGATGGGGATTGGTCTGTGAAGTTAAACCTATGAAGTATACTTTGACAAACTCTAACAAGATGAAGTTAAGCAGGTCATTAATGAAAGGGCACATGTCCGTCTAGGAACTATACACATACAGGCTGGGCCAATGTGAGCAGTTCTAATCTGTTCTATTACCAACACTGTTAGGTACAAGGCTGAGGCCAATGAAAGCCAGAGCTGGGGAGCATTGGGAACTCTGATGCCTCCAGCACTGAGAGGCTGGGGGTCTGGAATCACTGACACCTTGGGAAGGGCTGAAGCCCGCCACCCACAAGAACATTTTTCTGACCCTCATGCCAGGACACCTTTGGCCTCACTGACCTTTCTTTCTAGGTCCTCGGAAAAACCATTTACTCTCAAGTTTCTTGAAGATTTCATGTCTTCTAGCCTTCTCCAGCCTTGATCTGGGACTCAGCATGCATTCTTCAGCTCCCCTTTGTAATATTGAGCCCTTAGTTTAATGTTTTTTCTTCTTGATGTTGTCACCTAGAAGTCTTTACAAATGCAGAAACCATTTCCTGCTTCTTCAAAATGTACATCTAACTGTAGATCCAGGCTGCATTATCACTTCATACCCTCCTCTAACCTCAGCATTTTGGAGGTAGAAGAAAGTGAAAGAAAACCCAGGTTTTCTCTTGACCAAATTTGGTTCCTTGGTTACTTTCTAAAATGATGCTTGAAAAAGAACCGAAGTTCTTTGAACCTCAGCCTATGAATGGCAGTGTTAAGAGCTGTGAGGGTTGGGCCCAGTGGCGTGGCCTAGCGGCTAAAGTCCTTGCCTTTAACGCGCCGGGATCCCATATGAGTGCCGGTTCTAATCCCAGCAGCTCCACTTTCCATCCAGCTCCCTGCTTGTGGCCTGGGAAAGCAGTTGAGGACGGCCCAAAGCTGTGGGATCCTGCACCCATGTGGGATACCTGGAAGAAGTTCCTGGCTCCTGGCTTTGGATTGGCACAGCACCGGCCATTGTGCTCACTTGGGGAGTGACTCATTGGATGGAAGATCTTCCTCTTTGTCTCTTCTCCTCTCTGTATATCTGACTTTCCAATAAATAAATATATCTTTAAAAAAATAAAAGAGGTGTGAGGGTTACAAGGTCATGTGGACTTGATGTCTGTTTAATGTTGATGCATGGTCTTCTACGTAGTACGTTTGCCATGAGACTAGCAGTCCTCTAGGCCATCACACACACTAAGGTAGAAGTGGGATGGAGGAAAGGTGAACACCTTCCCACGGTATGGAAGAGCACGTTGAAGTGCCTGCCACAGCAGATGCAAACAAGAAGGAAGCTGTTGGCCCCAAAGAGCTTTGGAAGTTTGTTTTTTTTTTTAAAAAGATGTGTTTATTTTTATTGAAAAGGCAGATATGCAGAGAGAGAGAAGGAGAAGCAGATCTTCCATCTGCTGGTTCACTCCTCAAGTGGCTGTAATAGCTGGAGCAGAACTGATCTGTAGCCAAGAGGCAGGACCCGCAGGGTCTCCCATGTGGGTGCAGGGTCCCAAGGCTTTGGGCTGTTCTTTACTGCTTTCCCAGGCCACAAGCGGGGAGCTGGATGGGAAGTAGATCAGCCAGGACATGAACCAGTGACCATATAGGATCCCAGCGCATGCAATGCATCAGGCCATGGTCTGGATTAAAAACTGGTGGTTCCAGGTCTTCGGCATGGAACATGGACCTAGCGGGAGAGAAAAGTATAGGGGCGATGTAAGAAATAGGTATTCTCTTGATCCCACAAAACCAAGGACCACACACCGCTCTATGGGAGCTTTCTCAGGTCACAAGTAGGGAGCTGGATGGGATGCAGGGCAGCCCGGTTTTAGAACTGGTGCCCATATGGGAACCCAGTGCATTCAAGGGGAGGGTTTTAGCTGCTAGGCCACTACACTGGGCCCAGGCCTTGGGAGTTTTAAGAGGTGAAGACCTTTAGCTCTTGGAGGCTGCACCATCACAAGCAAAAAACGCTGTCTTGCATGGGTGGTTGAATGTCTGACACAGGATTAGTTCCCGAGAAAGTAGACAGTTGTACAGAGCAGGCTGACCACTTCTCAGATCTTCATCCTTTCTTGTATTTGGGCCCCTTCTGCATACAATCAGCTCCCTTCCTGCTGCTTTATCAAGATGGGATATAATCAGATGGGAACATCAGACTATTTGAACATTGTGTCCATCAGAATCATAAACCACATACATATCTACCACATACATATCACACATTACCCATCATTGGGTATTTTCCAATAGCATCAGTTCCCCAGGCCTGGATGTTGAATGTCACCCATGTTATTTAATGTTCATTTTAACCCTACAAGATCTAGATGTATTTATTACCCTTGCAGAAATCAAGGCTCAGAGGGATTAAGTCTCTTACTGAAGGTCACATACAGAGTCACTCAAACTCATGTGCTCTTGCTCTTTAACTTCTGTCTCTAGTGACACAGCCAAGAGCAAAGGAACTTTGTTGAAATTTTATCATATGGTTAATGGCTATTAGGTTCTCAGATGCCTAAAATATATACATCATTTTCTAATATTAAGCTATTGTCAAGAGAATTGGGAAGCAGAGTCTGAGGGCTGGGAAAGGACAGCAGTGAATTCTTCCACAGGGCGAGGAGGTCAGCAGGGACAAGGAAGTCAACACTCAGCTGTCACACGCCTCCTCCAAGACTGCAAATCCTCCTGCAAGGCCCTGCTTGGAGAGGGCACCTTCAGGCCTGTCTCACTTGTTCATTGGTAGGATGGGGGTTGCCAGCTAGGGCCAAATAAGCATTTCTCTCTTTCTCTTCAGTGAAACGACTCTCAGATTGACGCATGACCATGCAGAATATGTCACTTAGTTCTAGCCTGTAGGCACAAGTGTGATAAGTGACTAGAAGTTTGGTGGAGTAATAAAAAGGAAGAAGCCAAGTTTCTTTGAACTTTGGGGAGTGTGGAAATGCCAAACAAGGCTGGGAGTGGCTATCCATGGGCTTTCTATACAGAAGGTAAGGCGAACGTCTTTAAAAAATCATTTTCATTTTGGATTTCTTCAGTACATAGCTAAGCTCAAATTAAATTAACATATCCAAAATGCACTAACATTTCTTTCAAGAGAGCCTTCTTTCTACTACTAGATGTTCTTAAGATGAGATAATATGATCCATCCATCCACCCACCCACCCACTCATCCATCCAACCACTTGTCTAATTTATCTATTCATCTTTGTATTTATTCATTCAATTACTTG